ATCTCTCGAATATCTAAAATTAATAAAGATACCGATTTTGATGCGAAAAGAGTTTTGCAAATTTAATTATTATGTTGTAGGATTTGAAAACTAACTTCCATTTATTGATAGTTTCTGATAAATGATAGATATCGAGCAGATGAGATATTTTAAATTGGTGTCACTCCAATAATTTCCCTTCGATTCTAATCCTCGTAATTTAAAATGACAAATTCAATCATGAAATTTAGAACATTTCGAGATATAATTTGTTTGTTACTTGGCACAATCGATCGATCGATCCAGTTTCTTCGAGTTGCGTATTTAAATTAAAATATCGTGTATAAATATCCGGGTCAGATTTGTTTCAAATAATAAAAACGATTGCACGGAAATGTTTTATCGGAATCTATCAAATTTACAAACCGTATTTCGCTCCCTCGCTACTACTATATTCCTTTATAAAATATTCAACGGGCTTAATGAGCGCGAAGCAATATTGGAAATATCTCGAGGAAACCGTTTGTCCTACATTTCGGATACCCGTAGATGCATTAATAGCCTAGAATTATAATGCGAAATATGCAGGTCGAAAATTATTTGTAAAAGGCACAATGGCCACTCTACGTTCCGCCACAACCATCGCAACCTCTCGATCGTTTTTTATCCCTCCAATAATATACATTTCTACGGAACCCTTTACCACTCTATCGATCCACCATTCCACGACAATTCGAACATTTTCCATTTCGCTCGTAACCACCATCCAATCCCCCTCCAACTCCACCCATTATCCTCCAAACGAAAAATTCTTCTGAATTCGTTTCACACCTTAACCACACCTTTCAATCCCCATCTATCCTCACAACTATCACACCCTGCTCACTATTTCTCGACACCGCGTCGAAACGAACAGACCTCTCCTTTCTCGCCGATCTCCTTCCTCTCAGTCTCGAGAGCGGCGATCGCCAAGTCTGGAAGCCAAGCATCTTCGATAACATTGTTTCCAGTAGCAGTTGCGGGCGTGCGGATCAGATAAAAATGTGGTTGGAAAAATTTCGTCGGTGGCTCTCTCTCTCTCTCTCTCTCTCTCTCTCTCTTCCTCTCCGAAGTGCTTCTCGCGGCTTAATACGGATAGCGCTCGGTTGCCGCTCAGACGAGCCGTGGCGCGCTCCAAGAGAGAGTAATATTGATCGACGGAGTAGCGGGCTTACACCGTCCCAAGAGGGAGAGAGCGGTCGAAGGGAAGAGGGTGGCGAGCGCTCGAGGGTGGCAGAGCGAGGGAGAGAGAGGGGTGGTTGGTTGGTGGTTGCTGGAGGGTCGAAGGGCCAACGCGCACAACCGTGGCCAAAGGGTGCTGCCTCTCTCTTCCTTCCTCTTCCTTTGTCTCTCCTTGTCTCTCCTCTTCCTGGACGCGTCCCCTTTTCTCCTTTTCTCTCTCTCTCTGCGTCCCTCGCTCGGTTTGTTTTGCACGCGACTTTTCGTGGAACCCAAAGTTCTTTGTAGTTACTTCGTTCGTCTCAAAGTTCCCTTTTCAGCGACCGTTTCTTCGCGCGATTTAATTTTTCCTCCTCCTTTTTTTTCCCTCCTTATATCGTTATTTACCACTCCCTCCCCGCCCGGCTATTATTTTTTCGAGCCTTTCCCAGCGACGAGATATATATAGTTTGAGAAAGTTGTGCAAGGAGGTGACGAAGAAAGTTGATGATACGTAAAAATATTCGTAAAATATTCGAATTTCGAGACACGATCGTATGTATATATATATATATATTTTTATTAGGACGAAACTTTGGTCATCTCTACACGCCTGCTGTGGAAATTTGATAGTCTCGGGGCGAGGGTTGTTTGGTGGAGGTCGGTTGTTCGGAAGGAGGAGATTCTCCTCCGGGAAATGCCGCTCTGTTTCGTTCTGCGGAAGTAGAGTTTTCTGGTCTAGGCTCTGTTTCCCTTGGCCCAAGATTTACGAGCGTCGGTTCAGGGGCGGCGAATTCACGGTTCGAACGGTGGCTGTCGATCGCACCACGACGCCCCCTTCTCGTCAATTATTCGTGATTACATTACGCGTGTCCATCCACCTTGCTCGTTTTAAAGCTACGTGACCGATAACCGATCGCTCTTTGTCGAATTTGTTCCCGCCGTGAGAATAAGTTTGATAGAATCCACGTGAACGTTTATCGAGTTGAATGCTCTTATTTATACCGAAGAACGATCGAAGAATAATTTGATCTTTTCGATAATCTGGTATGATTGGTTCGTTGAAGATAATTTTAGAACGATCTTTCTTGGAAGAATGCATTGGAAGGGGGAGGACAAAGAATAATTTTTGAAAACGAGAGGAAATTCTTTTCGTTATCCGAATATTTTGTCTTCGTTTAAATTAGAATCATCCGGTTGATTTGAATCGAGGATAATATGTTCGAGACCGATCGAATTTTCTTAGATTAAAACTCAAAAACAAAGTCAATTTCTCGATTCCATTTCAAAAATATCGAAAAATCCGTCTAAAAGAATTACGCGAAAGAAACAACTTTTTAAATTCGCTTCGTTGAAGAAAGTTCGCAAGAAAAGAAAAATTCTTGAAAAGTAATTTTATTGCACGACTCTCGATCGTTAATTTTCACTCGAAGAAACATCTCATTTACAATTCTCTACCATTACCACTACCACACTCCATTCATCTTACGCGCTAATGCAAATTTACCCTTCCGATACGTTCAAATACTTGCGCATCTAATTCTCTCCTGTACTATCTCAAACACACGTATACACGCAAATTTTATCCGCAATCTCTCTCTCTCTCTCTCTTCTCTTACAAATCCATGCATTCGAATCGACCAACGGAATCGGCCCGATCTCATCTCGCGAAAGAAACAAGCGTCCCATTTCCAATAATCGTTACGAGACATTTAACCATCTGTTGCTCTAATTCCATCGTTCACCCTCCAATCCCTCTCATTTAAACCTTCCAGATTGTCCAGGGATCCGATAATCCGTGCCAGAAATTAGCCACGTTTCCTTCTGCCAATCGATATACACATTTATACGTATGTAAAGAGAACCTCTCGTCCAGTTTTCCTCTTGAAAGCAAATAGCGCTTTAAGTGATCCTTATTTTTTTCGTATCGAGTTATCGATACTATACTCCGAAATTAGATCCATTAATCCGCGTTAAAAAGTTAATGCATTCATTCTAGCGATCTAATTTTTCTCGAAAACAAATCGGTATTTCAATAATCAATAATCAAAAGTTTTCCGTATCAAACCATCGATGATCGAAACTGGAATGCTTCGAACCTATCAATTTTTCCTCGGAATAACGGATTCAGCATTTCGAACGATATCGAATTATCGATCTGAATCGGTGGAATTTCGATCGTCCATTCTCGTTCACAATACCTTGGAGATCCTTCAAAGCACCCTGTCAATCCCTGCCAAGAGAGTTAACCACGTATCCTTCCATCCAACCCGTGACCAAATACGCGATACTTTTATCGAGAATCTTCTCGTTCCCCCCCGAGAAATGTTCTCCCGGCCCACATTCGAGTACAAGGTTGTTGCAGCTGCAACCACCTCATGCGGAAAACTATCTCACGCCTCTGCCTCCGATGACCCCCGGGCAACACGAGCGAAAACTTTTCAATCGAGTTTCTTCGCCACCTCCCCCCTCATTCCTTGTCTTTTTCCCTCTCTCTCTCTTTTTTTTTCTCCCCGTCTCGAAACCAACCATCCCCTCACGACTCTCAGCCGTGAAATTGTCGCGCGGGCGAGTTTTATCGAATTCGCGAATTAATTCGCTCCCCTTTGCCGCGTTACGATTCATTTGCTCCGTAAGTTGGCTTCGAGTGTAACGAAGTTTGGGAAAATGGTGCGATAGGCCGAACGAGATTCTTCTCCGAGGAGTAGGAGGAGGAGTTGGAAGTTGGAGGGAAGAAGTGGAGGAATTGGGAATAGTTTCGAAGAGGAAAAGCAAGTTTTGGATACTTTGAAATAGTCTTGTTTTTAAGGGTTTTTACAACCCTCGAATCCTTCTCTCTTTTCTTCTTTCTTTCTTTTTCGTAGTAAATTCGAGAATCGAGCTCGTACCTCGATACTTGCTTATCCCCTTCTCCCTTTTTTTTTAATTACACGTTACTTTCGTTCCGTCACAATTTGAATTTTTATATACAGAGGATTACGTTCGATCTCTCTAGCTTTCCCTTCCAACTAAGATCACCAGATCGATGAATCGATCGATCCAAGGTATAAATGGCTCCTTTTTTCTTTCCTTCTTTCCTTTTCTCTTTGTTATCCTCCTATCCATAACATGGAAGGACAGTTCCCCCGCCGATTTACCACACTTTTCGACGCTCAACCGTTTCTTCTTTTTTCCTTCCCTGATTTTATCGCATCGGGCCCGGTAGACCGTATTTAATCGCAGATGCGTCGAATTCGGGCTATTATCCTGGCGATACGCGAATCAATCGGTCGTCAATCGATTGGATAATTCGTGGCGGTTGGGGGGACAAGCGTAGGGACGTCTGCTTCGCTCGAGCGAGTTTAAAAGTCGGATCGTTTCTTATCGATGCGGTTACGAGCGAGCAAACTGATGATGAAACTTTCACAACCGATCCGTAATCTCTCTCCCTCTCTCCCTTTCTGGAACAATCGTTCCAGAGAAACGACGCGTGTTAATTTTTATCCGTGATTTTTTTCGTTCACGCCGTTTATATATTTCAGTATGTATTTCGAGAAAATATTTTCGATCGGATGAAATTTCGCTGGTCGTTCAACGACTCGAAGGATATTTTTATACGCGCGATAGGATCGATGCGCGTCTATTAATAATCCGTTCCGGAGCAAATATCGTATACACGAAGATCGATAGATGTAGCAGTGGTGAGAAGAATTTAGTTTGGAAGAAAATATTCGAATATTTTCAATTTCCCCAACGATCTTCCCAACGTTTTAAAAACGTATTAAAAAGAGCATATAAAAATATAGAATCGATTCTGATCGAACGGATTTCTTCTTTATTCGCAGATCACATAAGCGACGTGTGCAAGAAGAATTACATGCGAGATCTGTACAGGAAGATAGACGGGGCGGTTCTGCAGTCGCAGCTCGAGAAGGACCTCGACTGCACCATCACCTTCCAAACGCACAGCATCCTTCAGCGGTTCATGCTCCGTTTCGACCATCTCCAATTGGACTGCAACGACCACCTTTACATCTACGATGGTGCGCACGCGGTCAGCAGTTACAAGGTAAATCCTGGCCCGTTTCGTTTCTCTCTCGTCGTAAACCGCCCCCACTCCCACCCAATAACGGTTAACACCGATGCTTCCTACTGCTCCTCCTCCTTGGACCGCAACTCTGATCTGCATTCAAATTGGTATATACCAAGGGATGGATGTAATATCGCCGCTTAGTCGCGAATTTGCATCCGGCGGAAACTGTTTTCGGCTTGGATCGCCCCGTTCCGTAGTTATTGTTTGTTGTTCGTTTCGGTCGAAGCGAAATCTCGCCGATTTCCAACTCGGCGATACCTTGCTGCTCTCGAGTTTACTCCACTGCTTCCTTACAAATTGATGGTGTAACGTAACCGTTTCGACCATTCGAATGATAAAGTACGTTCGTTCGAGAATTACCGGTTATATTCGAGAGAAAAATCGAAATCAATGTACGAGTATGGAAGACGGTCGAGTGAAACGAAATCGACTACAACGCTATGCGATAATCGTCGTTAAATTCATCATCGCGTCTTCCCATCTTTATCTTCGAATTAAAATAACAACATTTATCAAATATTTCCAGTGGTGTTAATTAATGGCAATTTCGAGAGAGAGAGAGAGAGAGAGAGAGAGAAAGGAAATACTTTTCCCGCATTTTTCCCTCGATTCGATCTGAATTTGAAAAAAAGAAGGAAAACGAAGAAGAATACATGGAAAACATTAGGTAGTGTAAATGGGATTTGTTCGATCGATTTTCTAATAAAGATCGAGAGAAGGATGAAACGTGGCTTTCTGCTCCCGATTAACCGTTTCCAATTGCCGTTATCGATCAAAAGATGAAGCACTAATTGCACGAGGAACGACATTATTTTTCCATGATTATCGGTCGAGGACAATGGCCCCTTCCCTCCTCCTCGATAGGGGATTCCAGTTGTGAGGGCCATTTTAATGTATTCCTCTCATTATGGATTCGGAGCATGGGCAGCGGTGAGCACAGAGACGCTGGAAACTTGCACCATTAATCAAGATTCGTCTCTGGGTAGAAGGGAGCTAGTGTGCTTCGTTCCCCTTCGTCTCTTTTGTTCACGATTTATCTTTCTCTCTCTCTCTCTCTCCTCTCTCTCTCTCTCGATCGATCGACCGAGCTTTCGATCTCGGAATTATTCCTCGAATGCTACTCGAATTGCGGATTTGTCGGCGATACGCCTCGAGTTCAGCGACCGATATCGATCTTATTTATAACAATACACGAAGAAATGAATTTATATACGAAAAATCTTTTGTTTAAAATTTATTCGTTTATTTAGATTTCTTGATTTCCTTCTTTCCCTTGCGATTGGATTGGAAACCTTGGAAAATACGAATACGAACTTTATCGTGGTATTTCGATCCAGATATTTGAAACGTCTCTCGAATGTCGTTGAAATTTAGATCGTCGTTCCAGATGCTTTCATGGATGTCTTTCATCGTAGATGCCGAAAATATTAGGTCATTCTACGTAGGTCTTTCATCTCGCAAGAAAAAAAGAAAGATGGTTAAAATGGTTTGCCCGATTAGTTTGCCGAGTGATACATTACTCTTTCGAACGTTTTTATCAAACGTGTTAGTTAACGTGAAATACAAGACGTTAATGAGCCTTCAACGTGAAAAATGGACGTGGAAAAAATTCATCGAGCGGATAAATACGACGTTATGTAATAAACGTTCTGCTTCTTTTTTCTTCTCTTTTTCGTGGATTTCAAGCCTCTCTTAAATAATAAGATCTCGCGTTCGTTTCCTCATGCGATATCGCAATCCCTCAGGGATTAAAGACTTTAACGAGTAGCGCCTTTAATGTCGAGAGATCGACCCGATTATTCCAACGCTGCGTACGATTCTCATCACTTCACCAATTGGATGAAATTTATCGTTAGCCGTTTCTTAAACATCAGCATCCGTGCGCGTTTTTATTATTTAACCCCGTAGACGAGGTAAATTGTGCGTATTTATTTTCACGGCTAATAGAAGGAGAGTTTCTCATGGTTTTTCCCAACCGTGAATACCGCCTCGTCTCCTCCGGTTTATGAAAAATAACGTTAACGATGCGCCTCGTGAAATATCTTTCCAACTTGAATTGCCGCGCTCTTCCCTCGTTCCTTTCTGTATCCTCCAAGTTAAAGCGCGTATTCACGAAATTACGCGTGTGGATAAGATGCAAAGAGTCATTATTTTTTTTTAACGTATTAAAGATTTCCTGTTCAAGTTGAATAATTAAAACGAGACCGTGTGTCGTAACGTATGAAAAAAGATTGAGAATCGAATTGAGATGGTTTCAAAATATTTTGGATCGTAATAAAATTAAAGCGACGCGTGGAAAGTAGAATTTAATAGATAAAGAAAGAAAGGTTTCCTCGAATCGTGAAATTCTTACTTTACAAAATATCGTACTGGATGCAATTATAACAAGTTGGGATGTTTGAGAGAACTTACAAGTGAACTTTATCCTTATGAGAAAGTTTCCAACTTCGTGACCCATTTTCCGCGAAACCGCTAAAACAATTTCAATCGAAGATTTAATACTCCGCGTATATCGCTAAATAAATCGAATAGATCTTTTAAAATTGAAAACTTATCATCCAAAATTAATTCTTTCCGTTCCTTTTTTCTTTTCTTTTTCTTTCTTTCTTTTCACTGTCGAATATTAAATTTCGAACGATCTTAGGATAACGTGCTCGTTGAGCAAGATATTACTTAAATTGGCCAGGGAAAAGTTAGTACAAGACGGCAAGAACGGATATCGAAACGGAAGAACGCCTATTACGAAAAGCGCAATTAACTTATTCCATAAAAAACTTGTTACAGCCTTACATTCTTCTCCATTTTTATTCACTCCCGTTATTTTATCTTAATGATAACACAGCTTTGTGACACTTTTCTTTCTGATTGATACACCTGTAAAAATACTAATACAAGATCCAAGCCAACGAGCGAGGAAGCTCTTAAAAAGAAAACCAATCTATACGCAAAATATATAGTCACGCTAATAAAATTGTAAATAAGCTTCTTCGTAAAGCCACGTTACGAACGTATATCCATCGATGATCGAACAATCTGACGTATTAGAATCTAATTTAAATAAGAAAAAAGGGGGGGGAAATATAATAATAATAATAATAATAATACAAACGACAAGTTCAAACTTTTGAACCGTGGCTATCGTACATTTTGGTACAATAATAACGAAACAGGAGAGAGGCCAAAGAGCAATGCAATTTTGCATAATGGCGGTTTAACTTTAATCTTTTTTATGGTCTACGTAATGGCCCGTTAAGCGTGTCCTTTATTACTATCTCTTTTTCTTTTTTGTCACTTTTTTTTTAACCTAGCCCCTCTCTCTCTCTTTCTCTCTCTCTCTTTTCCACGTTTCTCGGCGAGAGACGCCTTAATTTCTCGCCACGGCGATCGAAAACGCGCGGAATGTTGTGACGCGTAAACGAGAAGGAGGAGGGGTTAGCCGTGGTAATGCGGCCAATTGGATTTTCGTGGCGCGAGCTTTTATTTCCGAAAGGAAACCGGAAACTGCGGTGATTTGCAGAACGCGTGGTGGAATTCAGATCGGCTCCTGTTTCGATCGATTCGGCTGTTGTCGTGCAACGGGATTCCAGTGTTTGCTCATTTTTCGTCGATTTAAAAAAAATTGAAACGTTTTCGTCGAGCGAAAAAAAAAGTTGCGACCAATTTTATCAATCGTTAAAAATTTTGCGGAAATCGTTTTCCTTTTTTTTTTTTTTTTGGTTAATTAAAAGGTGGAATATATATCCCTTCCAACGTTTGTTTACGTTAGCCGTTGTTCAAACGTTCGCTTATCCCCTCGATATCCTAACTGGTGAACTACCCCAATTGTCTTGGAATTTCCCCTGTGGTTGACACTCGGTTTAACGCGTCGAAGAATTATTCCTCTCGTAAAACGATCGATCGTCGAAGGAATCTTTCGTTTTGTATCAAATAAAATTCCCTTTGTATCAAAAATTATCGCGAAAAACACGAGTGGAAGAAGCTGTAAGAGGCTAGATAGAGAACATGAAGAACGCGCAACCGATTAAATTAATGTTTCTCGATAAACTATGGAGGAAGAATTGGGGCAAAAATACAACGGGGATGTTTCCCTTAAGAACGCCTGCGCGATGTTCAACGACATATCGACTTTTCGTGTGTTCCATCTTTCGTGGAGGACACGATAAACGAGGAGCGAAAGTGGATCGCGCGATTGTTTTTTCGCCCCGATCGGCCACGCGCTCTATTTACGTAAATCGCGATCCTCTCCTCTTGCGAATAAAAGAGAAAAAGAAACAAAAATTAATCGACAAGTTCGTCGTTTCGAGAAATCTCTCGTGGATGTCGGAGGAGAAAAATGGAGATTAGAAGTATCGCGTGGAAAGCGCGTCACGAAGCGAAATTTCGGTTCGCGTGAACGAAATCCGCTTGCGAGGAGGGGACGTCGCCGCGGAGACAGCCGGATTTAGCAGCTATTTGGACGGCACAATGGGACATCATAGAGACGTTTCACGCGCGGTAATATCCTGGCTGTCACCATGACGACGGCAGAGCTTGCGTAATGCCTGTGTTCTTGTTACGTGGAAAAATATGCCCTGTATGATTCTCGCCTCGCCGAATTTTCTCACCTTATTTTTTTTTTTTTTTTTTGGGAGGAGAAGGAATTAGACGATCGGTTTTTCAAATCTGATTAATTACGCTCTGGGATGTAATTGTTCTCGCAACGAACGGGGATAAAATCGTTTAAATTTCTACAGTTTATAAAAATGTATAAGTCGCTCCATTGTTCTTCCAGGTCAGCTACTTGTTAAATTATGCATACGTTGTTTTACCTTCAGTCGCGGGGGAAGGTAGTTTTGAAATACGATAAATATGTGGTTGTGTCGAGTAATATATGCAGAATATATGTAATTATATAGATACACGGTGTGTGTGTGTGTGTGTGTGTGTGTGTGTACGGTGTGGGTTTACTTAAAGTTGGTTCGAAAATTTCTCCGCTGGAGAAACAAAATTAGGAGAATTATGCGTTTACACGGGGAACACGTATGATGAACTCGGTTTAATCTTAACGAAAAACTAGTTAATACCAAATTTTACTATCCGACCGTGCGACAACAAGTTTCTCTTTTGAGATTACATTAAACGCATCCTTTGACTTGACGCGTCTTCAGAATTCATCTTCTCGTGATTAATCTTCGGTAACTAACGTATGTAAATTTTCGTATCTCACCATAGACTCGATTATCGTCATCCAGAATCAACAAGTTTCCCTAAAATTGCGTGTATTTCAACCTAATTCTCGCGAAAAATTAATATAATACCAAATTTTGTTATGCTTGATCATAGATTTATCGTCATCCAGAAAAGACAGATCAAACAAGTTTCTCTTTTAGAATTTCATTAAACGCACGTCGAATACGAAATTTAGGTATTTGACCAGAGACCTTAATTATTATCATGCAGAAAGGACAGATGAGACAAGTTTCTCTAAAATTCCAGCACAGGACGCACGCTTTCATTCCACGCGTCCTCGGGCTCCATTTTCTCGTGATTAACCATACGTGTGCTCAGCCCACGTGTACTCGGTCTCGAAATAATGATCCAGGGGACTATTATCAACGCCACACGTGACCTAAATCTTGGCGGTATTTTGGAACATAAACGATGATTATCCTTTTGACGAACCGAGATTTCGAAAGAATATATCTCGCGAGATATGATAATATCAAGCAAAATGTATTAATATTTTCGCTCTAATTTAAAGTTTCCGTTTCTTAATAAATTGTTATCGAAAGTATATTTTTATCTTTCATATTTTCAAAGTTATCGCGATGTTAGATAATATTATCACAGCTTCCGATATCACGAGACGTCGTCGTTGAATCTCGACGAGCGTTTTTATTATACTAACACGGAGAGAAGTTGCTTTTCAAGATTCGTTGGAGATCGCTTGCGAGCTCTATACTTATCGCGAAAGCTGGGAAAATTCGATGAACTCGAATGGAAGAGGTTAAGGGTCGTTGGAATTTTTTTTTTTTTTATTCTTATCGACGACAATTTGAAGGAATTTTTGTAACGTCCTCCCTTCAATCCTTCCTACTTTGGTATTTTATCGCGTTTCTAATTAGTAATTTTATTCCTCCCCTCTCGAATTGCGGAGAAACGAGGGAGGGAAGACTGAATTTACCAGTAGTATTCCAAGTAAATTAGATAGATTTTAAAAGAACAATTAGATTCTTTCTATTCGGGCGAGAAATTGACTTTCTATTGATCCTCTTTAAAAAAGGGCACATTTAAATTATTGGATTAATTAATTTATTTTTAAGGAGATGTTCACAATGCACATATAATAATAATCGAACGAGTAGAAGGATATTGTACGAAGGAGTGAGAATCGTTTCCACGTGCCGTTACGATTCTCAGCCACGTGTAAAAATTAGAAATGAATTAACGTAAGTTATAAGGATCGAGAGAGCTACCAGCATGGAACAATTACGTGTACCAAACTTTCGCTAAACTTGGAACGAAATAGGCGAATTTAAAAGACTACGGCTACAGGCTTTGTCCTCGTCATCGAAAAAGCTACCCGCATCGTGTTATTCATGCGAGGCAATAACTTTAACAAATTCGCCCAACTTCCAACATGCAGATTGCAACAAACGAATGCAAATTATCTCGTAAAATATCAATCACGTCGAAAATACGTGCTACACAAATACGTATGTGTACATATATAATAAAGAACGAAGCATGAAAGATTTCGATTTATATAGTCGTTTAAGTCATTCGTGTATATCGAATATATTGATCTGAATTTTGCAAAACTCGAACAAATTGAGTTTGAAAAATTAAATCGATGTAATAAAAATATGACAAAAAAAGGGAAGAAGAGGGGGGAGAGAGAGAACTTCTCATTTCTGTTTCATAGCTGGTGCGTTACACGGGGATACATCGAAATCATACGTCAAAAGAAAGTTGGCGTTATCTCAGTCTCGTTTCTCTTTTCAATCGGACAAAGGGAAGGTCTTTGAAGGTTTCTTTTTCATCCCCAGGTTTCTATTCATATCTACACGACAAGATTTTCGATACCCGACCCCCGTGACTTTTCACGAGAATTACATTTATATTTGCCAAAAGTGTCCGCCAGCCTTGTCATTTGCACGATATGATGTCGATAAATGGAGCATTTCGCTAGATACCAGATTGAACCATTAGTCAGAATAATGAAATTATTCATCGAATCCTTGGGAAGTTCCATTTATACCTTGGGGCTTATAGGAGGGATATTTGTTTTTGTCAAAGACTTTGCATTGAAATATGGTGAAATTTATTACCAATAAAGGAGGAATAGATGTGATTCGGATAGAACAGGATGATAATGGAATCGTTTATCGTTGATTAATCGAAGCATTTCTAAAATTATTCTCGCTATCGTTCATCATTTACACCTTTTTAAAAATTTTCTGCTCTTTCGTACATTCTTTTCTCTGAATATATATATATATATATATATAATTACAAAGTTACGAATGTGTTGGAAAGAAATTTTAAATCATTAAATCTTAATTGTCGTTCGTCGATGTAATGATTTTCAATTTAACCATCTCGAAGATCAACGATTCTTCGAAATTGCAGAATTTAAGAATTTCCTACCTTAATAATATAAACGACGATAAATTCATCGAGTGAAAAGATAAAGAATTTTGATAAAAAAAAAAAACGATTATTTCATAAATAGAAAAACAAAATAAGATGAAATTATATAATGTTCGACTATTTTTCCTTTGTTTTTGAAGTCGTAAATGCTTGAATAGACGCATCGATATAATTACGATTCGTAGTATGAAGTATGCGATTAAAAGGCATAAAATTATATACACTTTATCTGAGATTAACAAAATGATAGATTTTGTAAAGACGTCATTGATTCCTTCTAGAGAATCGATCATTATTTTTTTTATTAGAAATTAAATCGTTAAAATAATACCAAATGACGTAGTTCTCCTTGAACGGCTAATCTCGAAACGAATACGTAATTTTTAATTTGATACATCTTCGTACTTTAATGGCGTTTCTTAAGTAAAATTGTTCTTTTTTTTTTTTTTTTTTTCGTAAAACTGGAAAGAAGAATAATAATTGCCAAGATGAATCGTAATTACACGCGTTGATCGTTATTGCTCGTGCACAAAGTACGCGAGATTTTTTTTTTTTTCATAAAATATATCACCTTTAATTATTTCCTTTAATCTCGCTGCATAATAACTCGGGCGGATGTAAGATTGGATGATGGCGGATATCAAAAGAGTTGTTTCAAAGGTTAATGAATGGATGGATTCAATAGACGCATCTCACTTTCTCTAAACTCTGAAATTGATCGTATCGAATCAAGCAAGCAACGACAATCGCAATTCGAATTCGACTTAAGAAGAGAGAGAAGAATAATTAAAGTTGATTTTTACTCTCTCGTTGGAAAGCTGGGTCGCAAACTTTCATTTGGAGAGGAGATATTATCGGAAATTGCTTAAGAAACTCTTTAATAACAACTCTACCGAGTATTAACACGAATTATTTTCAACTTTTCACTCTTATTACGACTTAGCCCGAAGTCTGTTCAAAAGTCTCTTCCTCGCCATATTGGTGAGCCGTGCGATGGCCGGGGAAATTCTGTTTGATGGTAAATAAAGTGAAACAGTGAAAAAGTTGGGAAGATAACGAGGTGAGCAAATTTATCGTTCGAATATTATTATATAATCGACGTCGGAAGATTGTTTGAAAATAATGTGATCGTAGCGGAAAAACCGTTTATTAATTATCATACGAGCAAGATAATTTGTAATTGTGTGATTTTCTTACGTCTTCGTCGATGCTTATCGATGTCGTTCGGAATAGAAAAAAAACATTTCTAATGAAACGACAATTTAAAAACATATCGAGGAAGGAAGGAAGAGAGGAAGGAAGCTTGAGGCAAAGAAGGAAGGTGTCATCAATTATCTAAAAATCTAGAGTCAATGAAAAGAAAAAAAATGTTGCGATCGTCATTTTCTCGATTACGTCCTCTGCACAAATAACACATAATAGAGATACTATTAATTCATTCTTTGGACGTCACCATTTCTCTTCCTGTCTCTGCGTCAACGATAACACTAACCTAGGAAATCCCCACTTCCACGAGTCTCGATTGTTCTCGGTATTCGTTCAGGGTCGGAAGTATAAAAGACGAGAGACGATCGTGACACGATGATACTCGTGCACAGTTCACGGTTTGGAGACGATGGCTACTCGTCTCGGTTCACGCTCGATCGTTGTCCTTCTGGTGTCCTTGTTCGCCGTTCAGGTGACGGGACGAGGTGAGGAATACGAAAAGTTGGTCGGTCGCTCGGTTTGATTTTGCAAATTTATTTACGCGATGTTTCTCGTTTCGAGAACGAAAAGTGTTGAAATTCTTAATTTTGTGTAAAATTTTCGATCGAAAGAAAGATAATTACCTACTTTTTATTTTATCCACGCTCAAATTTAAAGAGATCTTCCGCGAACGATGGATGTTTACGACAAAAGAAAATCTAAAATGTCTCGAAACGATTTTCATTTTAAATCGCAAATGATACGCAAAATCGATACGTTTCTTTTTTTTTTTTTTCTTCCACTTTTTCGATTCGAAATTCGATCGCTGACTTCGATCATGTTTTCTGAAAAGAGATCTGCGATAAAACGAAATGTCCCGGCATATTGAGACATTACGAGGCGCTCGGTTGCACTCCTGTGTACAAGAATCCGAACGATTGCTGCGCGGAATCGTACAACTGCACTCACCTGGACAATTTGGCACGAGATAAATGCTACGTGAACGGCCACGAATACAGCGATGGAGAGGTGCTGAGACCCGAGGACGCCAATCCTTGTGACATTGGTTGCAAGTGTATGATCATTAACGATGCGTGAGTGCATTTTGGCATTGCCAGTTGGCTATCAACTCTTAATCGGTGTCGTCAAGTTTGAAATAGTATATTTGATTTTTTTTGTATGTCAAGTTTTATACGCGTGATAAACCATGGTGATTCAATCGCGTGTTATTTTTCTTAAAAGTTTTAAAAATTAATTTGTCACAAGTTATTAAAATTACTTTTAGCGTTTTTGGATCAGGTATGTTTGAAACGTTAGAACGCGGTTTCTGTGCAATTAATTGTGAAATTCAAAGTTGACGATTTGTTGACTTTAATTGATAGAGAATCATCATTTAAAAGTCATCGTCAATTCTATTTTTAAATTTAATTTTTGTTTTAAGATTTTTAATTTTATCGAAATAAACAAATAAACGAATTTAATTTAGAAAATATTTGTTTGTTCTTAAGCTTATAGCAAACGTATTACGACACAGTGTTTTATTATTTTAACAGAGCTACCTTTGTATGCGCGGCCGTAGATTGCGCTTTTATTTCGGCGGGGGAAAATTGTTTCCACAGATACAGCCATAATAGTTGTTGTCCAAACTCGGTACCGACTTGTCGTGAGTAAAAAGCATTCGATAAATTGTAATTAAGAATTGTAATTAAATCGAGAAGATTTTAAACGATTACGGTTATTCAGTGAAAGAAGGAGAGAAGAGGGCGACTTGTGAGGTTGATGGCAAAGTTTATAATGACGGAGAATACTTTAACCCAAGATCTGATCCGGATTTGGATTGTTACTGCATGCCTGGATACACAGGTACAAAGAAGAATATTCTCATTCTCTTGGAAAAATAATTTACATTTCTAGGAGGAGAGAAAGAGAGAAAGTAGCTTGATCGAACTATGATTTTAAAATTTTTTCTTCAATTTCAAGCAATTGAAAGAAAATTCAAAAAGAAGAGGTAAAAAACGATAAAAAAATGTAAAGATAAAAATTGTGACGTTTAGGTGAAAATATCGAGCCCTTCTGCAAGAAAATGAACCATCCTCATTGCTCTCCGTTGTTCAGAAACGGTGGATCTATATTCCAAAAATGTGCCCCCGTGTTTTACGACGATCATCAAAATCCGCAAACGGATTGCAGCTATGATACGAGATGTCGTGAGTTGATAACAGAAATATCTCCTAAATTAACCTTTGAAACCTTCGATAGGTAGTAACAACTTTCTGAAGAAACAAATTTATATTAAAAAATGAACTCGTTTTCGCAGAAAATTCGGACGACGTTATTATCCATAATCATGACCACACTAAATCTATTTCCGAGGAAGGTGATGTATTTATTTATATACATTTATTTATTTCAAATTCATTAAATTTTTTTATAATATATTCTTTTATTCGTGGTTGAATCAATATTAATAACAATATCGATATAATTTCATTCAACTTGAAATTACTTGGATCGATCGATACGTTCAAAATACGAACAAAATAAAATAATTATTGACGATTTTATCTCATCGATGTTTTGCAGAAGACAAAGTATGCAAATTCGGTAATATGACGATGCACATAGGCGACGAATTGGATCAAGGAACCAATTATGATTCTCGTTGCGTGAAATGTGTGTGCGAAGTACCTCCAATTCCTACGTGTCGAAGGCTTCCGGACAGCGAATGCCACAATAGTTATGCGTATCCATTCATAAAAGTTCTATAAATAATCTGTGATTATTTATTACCAATAATACGATTTTCCAAAGATGTTATATAACTCATTGACAGTTTTAAGTGTTTTAAAAAAAATTACAACATACATGTAGAATCTCTGATACACAGTGAAAGCATTGTTTTTCTTTTAATTAAACAACTTTTTATTCTTATTCTCCTTCGAATAATTCTCTTCCTTTTTCTCATTCCCGTTGAAAAGAAGCTATAATTTTAATAATTTTACGACGATGATCGAGCTTGGTAATTCGATCATTCAGAAATGTATTCTCTCTTTCACAATAAGAGGTACATTTATAAATTGTTTTAAATAATAAATAATGAACACTCGAAGATGCGTAATGTCACGATATCAATCGAGACTCGAAGACATCAGTTGCTTAACCAGTTGATACAGAATATCTCATATATCACGAACGAACGCTTGTCACCTTCGTTTTTTTCTCCTCGAGAAGGAGCGGCGAGATTAAGGGAGAAAACGAAGAGAATTTCAAACAACTTGATCGCTTTTCATCTCCTCTCGATGAACGTTAACGATTTTTACCCTCTTTAAAATAGTTTGATTTCTTTTCGAATCAGATCTCAAAAGTAAAAAATTTTCACGCCATAAGAATCTTTTGTGGATTCCTTTATCTTCCCTCCGATACTTTCGATTTAGAAGATTTACGCATCGCGAAGGAAAGAAGGAAGGAAAGTTTAGATTTAAGGGTTCGATCTATGTTGACACAGTATCGATGATATCGGTTTCGCGAAATTACGCGGCTGGAATCTCGCAAGTAGTTTGCCGGAAGCTGTGTGCGGGCAAAATGGCGGTGCAAGAAAGGGCACGGAAGTTGGTGGCCACCGTTGTCACGTTAAGTCGATCGAATTTATGTTAGGTTTGGAGGCCCGGTGTTATAAGCATCGGTTCGATTACCAACGTCGTCCGTGTATATCACCGCTAACCGTTTGGAAAGTAGCATTTCCAAGTCGGCCCATTATCCTTGCGGCTGCGCTTGTTCAGCATCGCTGTCCTCGTCCACCTCGTGAAATTTATTATACGTTTATTGCAACGTTTCGACGAGCTTTTTCCTCTTCTTACTTCCCGTTTAATACCAACTCGTGAAATAAAAATATAAAAATAAAAATTGCAGTAGAAGAGATTCTTGAAAATTAATAACATTTTTCTGAAATTTATTCTACCATTTTTTTCTTCTTTTTCTTCTTCTTCTTCTTCTTAATTGTTGTGCAACGTATGGAATAATATGAAAATTGCAATCGCGAAAATTAATAACGACATTTGTTGATATTGAATTCTTTCTATTATCGTTGTCCACGATAAAATTTATTATCGGGGATTGCAATGAGTTTTTCTTCTTACTTATCGGACAATTCGAAATAATATAAAAATTGAAACGAATTAATCGCAAAAATTAATAATTACACTTTTTAATATTAAATCCTTTTTACATCGTCCACGATAAAATTTATTATCGACGATTCCTTTTCTTCTTGCTTATTGGACGTAATTCGAAATAATACGGAAAATTGCAGGAAATTAATAATTTTGATATCAAATTTTTATCGTCCAGTTTTTTTTTTTTTTCTTTTTAATCGATATTCGAAAAAGTTTGCTTACAATATATTCGCAATTCCTTACCAGTAGGAAAAATTTTTCCAGCTTGTAGATATCAAAGGTAGGAAACAATTTTTCAAAGCGGTTCGCAAATGCGCAAAGGGTTTTCGAGGCGCGACGTCGAAAACGTTACCTTTTGTATCTTATCCCTTCATGCATATTTCAGCCTTTCCCTGCATAATGTTTCGTATTTTTCCTCTTTCCCCTTTTCACCATTTTCCTTCTCTTCCCTTTTTCTCTCTTCTTTCTCTTTTTCTTCTTTTTCTTCTTCCTCCTCCTCCTCCTCCTCCTTCTCTTCTTTTTAGAAGAAATGGCACGAAGATAGAACCGTCGAACCTTATCCGTTTCGAGCCTTTTCTTTTTTGTCCACGTTATTCGATTTGCTTATTCCTCCGTCCCTTCGTTGTTACATTTCTTCGTCTTTTTCCTATTGCATCGTTGATAAAATTCCAACCGGGACAATTCTCGACAAACACCGAAATTCTCTTCCTCGACGTTTCTTTGATTTTAGCAATCGGTTTGCTCCCCGTTCAAACAATGGAACGTGCATTCGAAATTATTACTCGTTTTGGAAAACAATTTGATAGGATTTTGGATTTACATAATTTTTGCCTCGGATTCGTCATGTCGAAATCAGGATCATTTTTCAAAATAAAGCGTATAATTAATCGAAGAATCTTGGTGATAAACGTATCACGTCGATTGTGTATAATAATTTTCAATATTTCGATCAATTCGTTTAGAAACTTGGTCCAATTGGAAGGAAAAATTTTTCTTCCACGATTTCATAACGTAAAAGTATATTTTAAAAGTAAATTACTTCAAATGTATTATCCTTTCAAGTCCTTCCACGAGATTACTTAATATTTTAATTCACCATTTGAGGATCCAGCGAAATCGATCAGGCTAATTCCCTTGCGAGCAAAATCGAATATCACACGACACGAAGTAATCCGGTGAATAACGATCATCAACGATCTTAACGACGATAAATTAACCGTCAAAAACAATGCTCGATGGCGATAAAACCATGGAGCAACGAATCGCCAACGATTACTTTCCGGATCGATGGTCAAAAAAACGTTTCGTTTACAATCGGCCGATCAAAAATGTATCGATGATCGATGGGCCCGCGGTCGCATTAGCCAATCGTGTTTCCGATTCGACGAAGCTTGTGCGCCCGTCCCAATTCGTTTTTCGTGTATAAATTAACCGCGACAATGGCTGTGTATCAGTGCTCGTTTCGAGACTCTATTGGATCCGACTTGGATCGAATCGATCGAGTGGCAACGAACTAAAAAAAACATCGATCGATTTCGACTTCTCCTTTCTTCGAGGGACTCGAGTTTACACGCGTCGCGATGAACGTTTGAATTGGAACCATGTTTCCGCCTGTTCCAGCTATGAATTAACAACGTCCACGCGGATATAAATGACGGGGGGCGGATATCCTCCCCTCCCCCCTCTTGGAAACCAATAAAACGAAAGGAGACTCCTGTGGAGAGACGGAGAGGTTTCTGCTCTCCATCATCGGTGTCATTGTTGATAGTAAAATGATCGTTTGCGAACGTGGATGCCTCGTCGAGATTACGAAATAAAATTATACTAAGTTATTCTCTTTTGTTATCTGTGAGAATTCTTGAAAATGTTGAGGACGTGTAAATCCCTCATTTAGATTAATCGGTTACAATATGAATGGTAATGAATTTATAATGTAGAAATTATGATATTAAACGTGTTATATGGATTATCACGTGGAGTGAAACGTGTCGAAGAGTGGCATCGATATTTTCTTTTCATTCCTAGTTTTAGATAATTTACACTCGCGACTAATAATAGCAATGGACTTGTAATGTCTGTTGAATTACTTTTTCATTTGGCTATTAAACGTGTAACATATGGTTTGTCACGTGGTCGACAATGCACGTTGGACGTTAATAGTAGATCGTGGCATCGATATTTTTTCTCATGGCGCGTCAAAGCATCATCGTGAGTTGGCACGTCGTACCATCGACAGAGACGAATTAATCTGTAATGCGATATAATATAAGGATCGTGTGTATTTTTAAACTCTTGCAAGCGTTTAGAAGCGTGTTATCGAGAAGGAGAAAAATGGAGGATTTGATCCCGACTTTGGAGGACTTGTTCGAAGGAGGAGATCACGAGATGCAATTATGATAAAGCTGAAAGCTTCTTTTAGGAGAGGTTTTCAACGGGTATCGCGGTCTCACAAAAGGGATGACTGCGTTTTAATCTATATCGCTCTCTCTATTTCCTGTTCCCTTTATTCTCTGTGTCTGACATGCGATGAGCTTTCGACTCTCGAGAACACTCGCCGCGAAAAACTCGCCCTCCTCGTTACCACCGCCAATTCCTCGCAAATCGATACGGCCGACCGATGAAAATTAATTTTAAAGTTCGACCGATCGAACTCGCCGCACCGGCTTTCCATTCGCGCCCTACATTTTTTTCACCGTATTTATCTTTTAATTACAAACGATTTTTTATAACATCGGATAAATTTTCGTTATTCTATCGCGATTTCATATTGCTTCATATTTCCTCTAACCAATCGCTTTTCTTATTTTGAAGCGAGAGAAAGAAACGTTGTTTTTTTTTTTTTTTTTTTTAAGATGATTCTTTTTATAAAATCACTGAATGAATTTTCGATTTGTTCCTTCGATTCGTCCAATGAATCGTCTAATTATTTAAAGAAATACGTTTTTTTTTTTGAGATGATTCTTTTATAAGATCGTCGGATAAATTTTCAATTTCACGTAATTTTATCACGATTTTATATTGTTTGTGTTCGTCTAACGAATCGGTTTTGTTATTTAAAGCGAAAGGAAGAAACGCGTGTTCTTTGCTAATTCGAGTACAAGAGATATAAATACAATTCTTATGCGGATACCGCGAAGCTTATACCGGAGAAATGTGTCCCCGGATACCGATCATTTGGGGTTAAAGAATGATACTCCCCCCATACTTGAAAGGAAAATATCATTTTCTTCTGCAATCAACTTATAACCCAGCTGGGGGTATTACGTAAATGGAAATACGGGAACGGAAAAGAGTATTTTTCTTTCGAGGTAGTAACGTCTCCTACCTTTCGTTTTATACTTTCAATTCCGGGATTATTTTTAATAATATTTTTATTCCTTTTTTTTTTCAATAAATAATTTGAAAACGTCGAAAATGAAAATTAAACGAATTGATATTTTAAACTACTTTTAATAAAACGATACTGTTACTGTTTGTAAAAAAAAAAATTAATAAAATTATCGTCAACGATTAATAGATGCCAAGTTCATCCCGTTAAATTAATCAATCGTGTTTTCCAAATAAAATGGAAATATTTCTACGTTATATCGAATTTTTCTCAAAATCGTTCATTCTATATATATATATATTTTTTTTTTCGTACAAAATAATTTTAAAAATCGATGAAAATGAAGGGAATCGAAACGACGACATTTAGTCTCGTTAATCCGTTTCTTCGGTTGGCCGACGCTGCCACGACTTGACTCTCCGCGCTAAGAA